TTCCACCTCACTCTGTCCTCTGCATCCTCTGTCCTCACTCCAACTACCTCCATGTCCTCTCTAACTGCATCCATATATCTCCTCTTTGTCTTTTTCCTGGCAGCTGCATTTCTAACATCCTTCTACCAATATACCCACGTTCCCTCCTCTGGACATGTCCAAACCATCTCAGTCTGGCCTCCCTAACTTTATCTCCCAGTTGTTCAACCCGTGCTGTACCTCTGATGATCTCATTCCTAACCTTATCCAGCCTTGTCACCCCTAAGGAGAACCTTAACATCTTCATTTCTGCTACTTCCAGTTCTGTCTCCTGTCTTTTTGTCATTGCCACTGTCTCCAGACCATAAAATATAGCTGGTCTTGTAAACTTTTCCTTTTTACCTTTGCTGACACCCTTTTGTCACAAATCACTCCTGAAACTTTTCTCCATCCACTCCATCCTGCCTGGACTTTCTTTTCACCTCTTTACCACATTTCCCATTTTCCTGGACAGTGGACCCCAAGTACTTGAAGTCCTGCACCTTTGTGACCTCTGCTCCTTGTAGCCACACATGTACTGTGTCTTGCTACGGCTGACTTTCATTCCTCTTCTTTAAAGTGCATACCTCCACCTCTCCAAGTTCTCTTCCACCTGTTCCCTGTTCTCGCCACAGATCACAAGGTCATCTACAAACATCATAGTCCACGGGGATTCCTGCCTGACCTTATCTGTTAGTTGGTCCAACACCAGAGCAATCAAGAAGGAGCTCAGAGCCGATCTTCTTATCTTTAATAAGCGAGGAGCGTTCTTGTAAATAAATATAGTATGTATTATATATATTAGAGTCCGAAAAATACGGTATATATGAACACAATCCAGACTTATTGCAGTTTTCTCTGCGTCAAACCTTATTTAAAATGGACTGAGGCAAAGTGGAGAACTGTTTTGAGGTTAAACGAATCAAAAGTTTTATTATTTTTTGGAAACAATTAATTTAGTATACTAAAACGGAGAGCACCATCAGAACACAGTGGAAAAGCCTGTCTCTCTGATGGTATGGGGGTGCATTAGTGCCTACGGCATGGGCAGCTTCCACATCATGAAAGGCACCATCAATGCAGAAAAGTACACACGCGCACACCGATCGATTGCATCTCTCTCAGTTTAATCCCACACAGTTTTTCCTCCGTTGTTGTCTCGTTCCTCCTCTTATTTTGCCACGACATTCCTCTCTTTGTTCAAACACTGCCTCCAGAATTCCTGTCCCCGTTGAAACACTCTCTTGCACTTTTGTTTTTCCTGATTTTCACTCAGCAGTGCTCTGGAATGCAGAGATTACTTCAGAAAGGGGTTGCTGACGTACTGTCGTTTACTGGAGCGCAGTCACAGCTCAGTCCGGTGAAAGATCCTGTCATTTCTCAGATCTCTGCTAAAGAAACGCACTCTTACGATAATTCTTGATAGTGCTTTCATTTAGCTCCAACAACTTTTAGCTTTTGTCTTTAAGACCCATTTAAGGACTATTTTTGTGTTTATTTGTGTGATTTCACCTTTGACCTTTAAATCTGCTTAAACAATTTTGTAAGTTTTAATATAAATCAAGTGCAAATGAGAATCAAATCAAAACGGCATAGACTGCAACATAAAATAACAGCAAGGAAAAATGTAGGGAGGAGACTAAAGCCTGGCACAGAATAGTGAAAACGCACGTTTACACTGTGTGGGAGTGAGCAGATGAGGTGAAAACATTCACAAGTCAGTTCATATGGATTTTAGAGTTTAAAAGCAGAAGGAAAATCACTTGAGAGAAGATTATTTCCATCTTATTAATAACCACATGTGTTTTCCTCTTGTATCATATATTAACATCAAAATGGAGCATTTTTTAATTTAATAATCTATAATTGTTTTTAGGTATAATGGTAAAATTTGTATGAATTAGTAAAACTTTAACTCACTCAGTGGTAACAGGCTGATTTCTGTATTTATTACTGACGTTTTATGTCAAAATTTTAAACTTAAACCAGTCAATTAGAACAGTTTTAAACACTCAGAGGAGTCAACACGCAGGTAAAAGGTAAGTGAAGTTTATTGTGTAGTGAAGACGGGCTCAGGATGAACCTGCAGGGAGGGCAGCACAACCAGAAAGCATGTAAGATGTTAGTTTAAGAGAGGCTTTCTTACAGATTGTGAGGTGGTGTGGAGAGGAGGGTGGAGATTTCCAGAAGCGAAGGAACGAAGATGAGGAGGTTTAAGTTGGAGAGTGGCAGGATGGTGCTCGTTGCAGAACAAGAAAGCAGGAGGTTCCAGGAACGCTGAGACAGGTGAGGCGAGGACCTCACAGAGGCAACACAAAGGAACTCAAGGAGCTAGGGGGATCTGCTGGAGGACAGCAAAAAGCCAGGGCTTGGAAAACACAAAGGATTAAAGGTGAGATTCGCTTGATATAGATAATATCTACCGGGGCTGTCACACAGTCACCAAAAGGGTTCATTTTTAAATAAAACTAGGTTCAAACTGTAAAACAAACTTACTTAATGACAACAGCTGGAGGCTCAGCTCCTGAGCTCTTGGTTTTCAGTAACTGTGGTCCTCTGAGCAATTTAGTTGAATATGTTGTAGAGTCAACTCCATCCAAGATAGCTACCATAGCTAATCAAACTTTTTTTAGTACAGTATTGCCTAACTTAGTCAGTTTTACAGCCATTGAGATATAAACTACGTAGTGTGGTAGGCGCTGAGAGTCATCCTCAACACATCTTGTGAGATCTCATATGAGATAATGTATAACAAATCTATCTATCTATCTATCTATCTATCTATCTATCTATCTATCTATC